CGGCGCGGGCCGGCGAGGGGCCCGCCAAGAAGCAGAAGACCGGAGAGGATGACTAGACAGCAAAAACAGGAAAAGTTAAACTTAAGAAAAGGCCGCCGTGACCTATTCACCCTCCACTTCCCGTCCCAGAATCTAAACGTGGTCACCTTCCAGTAGAGAGGGCCTCCCGGCTGCCCACCGCGAGCAGTGCCACCCGCAGATGACACATGCTCTCCACCACCCAGCCAAAACCACAACAGCGAATTTGCAACAGGGGAGGAAAAAAGAACCAAAACTTCCAAGGCTCTGCTTTTTTTCTTAAAAGTACTTTTAAAAGGAAAATTTGTTTGTATTTTTTATTTACATTTTATATTTTTGTACATATTGTTAGGGGTCAGCCATTTTTAATGATCTCGGATGACCAAACCAGCCTTCGGAGCGTCCTCTGTCCTACTTCGGCTTTACTTGTGGTGTGACCATGTTCACTATAATCTCAAAGGAGAAAAAAACCTTGTAAAAAAAAAAGCAAAAACAACAACAAAAAAACAATCTTATTCCAAGCATTCCAGTAACTTTTTTGTGTATGTACTTAGCTGTACTGTAAGTAGTTGGTTTGTATGAGATGGTTAAAAAGGCCAAAGATAAAAGGTTTCTTTTTTTCCTTTTTTTGTCTATGAAGTTGCTGTTTATTTTTTTGGTCTGTTTGATGTATGTGTGAAACAATGTTGTCCAACAATAAACCGGAATTTTATTTTGCTGAGTTGTTCTAAAAAAAGAGAGAGCGAGAGAGAGAGAGATGACCAGATCCTGGTGCACAGTGTGTCCCCCGGTGCCACCCACCACCACACAGGAGACCCACAGCAGGGCAGCCAGCTTAAAGCCTACAGGTTACTGGAGATGCCACCAGAAATATGAAATCCACCCTGTACTTGAAAATACTGCAATGGGTGGTGCAGATGACAGCTCTGATCCTCTAAGACATTAGGAAGTTTGTCTTATGTCGAAGGTTCGTACAGAATCTGTGAATATGCCACCCTCCATGGTAACGAGGACCTGGCACATGTGCCTAAGGCTTTAAGATGGGGAGGTTTTGGAGGTGTGTCCAGGAGGGTTCAAGGTAATCACAGCAGTCCTTGCAAGTGAAAGAGAGAGGGTTCAAGGTAATCACAGGGGTCCTTGCAAGTGAAGGAGGTTGACAAGAGACTGAGAATCAAAAGAGACATGAGTAGGGAAGCCAAGGTCAGAGTCAGAGGATTTGGGGTATTCTCCAAGGAAGGTCAATGGTGTTTAGAAGCTTGCAAAGGCAAGGAACTGGGTCTCCATAGGAGACTCCGGAAGGAACACAGTCCTGCCCACTCATTTTAGACTCTAGGTCTGGAGAACTGTAAGGTGAGCAGTTTGTATTGTTGAAGCCACTAACATGGCTTCAGGTGAGAGCTCCTCATCGCCTCAGTGAGAACCCAATTCAGGAAGGAGGGAATACTTCCCAAGGACAGAAAGAATTTCAAGTGCCTAACTTCTCTGGGAGACAAGCAGAAAAAGAATGAAGCACTACTCTATGGTAACTGAATGGTGAAGGGAAAAAGAAAAAAGAGAGAAGGATCCTCAGGGTCTTAAGAGACAAAAGAAACCTTTAACATGTGAGGACTGAAACCTTCCCACCACCTTCAAAGCAAAGCGGCAGACACACCCAAACTCAGTGTGCCTGGATGACGCAGTACTGACAGAAAGGAAGTTCATTAAGAAGAAATAGTATAATTCACCCTATTGCAAAAAAACAAAACAAAAAAATTCCCCAGAAAGTACACCTATTACAATTTGTCCACTATAAAATAAACAAGTTGAATAGCTATAAAGGACTAAAAATCCAAGTTCTGGGACCAGCAGTTAGCATAACAGCTATGTCACTGGAGTGCCATGTAGTCAATCACGGTTCGAGTCCCAGACCAGATGGCTTAAAACTCATGCCGGGCACGTGTGTGTG